GGTATAAAAAATAGTTTACTAGACCTACCGAATAAAAGATTCATAAAAATCGGTCAAGCCGTTTCGGAGGAGTTTGGTTACAAACACTATGACACCAGAATTTTATATTAGATTATTTTAGAACAAATTTTATTACCATAAAAAAGATTATACTGAGTCGACCTTAAAAGATAGACATATGCTGTCGCGGACTTTTTTTAGAACTTTTAGAAGGGAACAATTCCATCATACATGATTTTTATGTAACTTTAACAGCGTAAGCAACGTAAACTGTCAAAGGAGGATTAATTTTCCCGTTTTTCCGATATTTTTCATTGCTGCTCCGTTCTTATTGATCGTAGCGTGATGTTATATAGCCTATAACCTTCCTCGATAAATGAACTATCCAACACAAAAAGATATTTTGAATTCGAACGAGTAGTTTCTGAGATTAGCGCGTTCAACCAAACAAACTCTTCAACTCTTCAACAATAGTAAAAATAAGTATAGAAGTATAGAAGTATAGATAAAAATGCCCATTTTTTTAATCTCAAAATTGTTTTCTTCTTGCTTTCCAATGGGCACAAGTTGATACAAAATTTGACATATCTAAGCTTCCGGCAATTTCATTTCCAATTGAGAGATTCAGTGAAAATAATCTGCATTGGCCCATTGTGTTTCTTAAAAAATTTTTAGTCATTTTTAATTTCGAAAAAGATTTTTCCGCTGAATCCACCGAAAGAGGCATTGTAAGAAAAGTGAAACATGCTGTGATAATTTCAGTGAAACTAGTGCAGGTAAGTCATTCTGTAATAATTTCCCAGTCCAGTTTTTTTCTACTTAAAAAATTAGTTGCAACATACATCAGATATATTTTATTATTCCCAAAAAGCACCACAACTACAAAATTAATATAGTTTTGAAAATATGAAAGTTTTCATAAAACACAACTGAAACTGAATTTTTTTTCACGTCTTATTATAGCATGAAGTTTCATTGTAGATCTGAGGACAAAAGTTAAGTATTTTGTTGTCTTGCAACATAAATTAGTCATACTTTTGTTCGATAAAGATTGGTAATTTACAACATGGGGTGTTAAATTTGCCACAATGGGATTGCGACACTGCGACAGGTTTATTAGAAACAGATGCTGCTGCATTTTCGACTGCCGGTGTCGGTCGCTAAAACCTGAGTTTATTGAGTCTATGATATTGAGAATTGAGATGCCGCCAAAAGTCCAGCCCTTTGCAGCAAAAAATTCGTAAATACCAGTGGCGGCTCGTGACTGTCTGATGTGGTGAGGCGATGATAGAAGTTTGACAATAATAGTAATATTACTTGGTCTTACTAGTTAGTAATGATAGAATTCTTGCCTGAATACCGGTCATTCCCGGGTCAGTGGTAGGTCCTAATAATAATAATAATAAGAAGAAGAATAATAACACCCATAACACATTGAATCAACAATGCTTTTACAAGTCAAAATTTTGTTGAAAGTAGCACTTTCTTGGAGGGATTCGGGAATAGTTGTGTTCTTTTCTAAACGTTTTTAGCCCATGAAATTTTTAATGTGTACTTTGGAACTTTCATGGAACTTTGCACTTCGGATGAAATTCTTTAAATCGTTATACCCAGGGATGTTGTGTAAATATTACGGCAGAGCCATTTATATGTTTCGTAGGTACCAATTTGATTTAAATGACTTGGAGTACTGACGATTCTGTGGCTTATCAATGGAAGTTAAATGAATTAACGGTTTTGACTGCTCGATATTTAGCAAAATTTGCCGACGTTCTAGCTCGGTTCGCCGTGAAAACGGCGTTTCAAGAAGCAATATGACGATGTCGTACTCGGGATTCATTTTTCACTCATCTGTACCTATGAAAGAGACAATAACACAAAACACCAACACGTGGCTTTTTATTCACGTTCATGCTAATTACCCACGCACCCCGCAACCCTACCGTTCTGTAAAATAAATGGAAAAATGGTTTAATGAGTACGCCGAAATTGGCCGAGAAGCACCGAAGATATCGCCTCAGTTCCGAGCGAATGCATGTATAGGAGTATAGGAGCTGTGCCATCGAAATCCGTGTCTGTGATTGGGCTTCGCTGGTTCAAGTGAACCGACATTCTGGCCGCTTCAGTTAAAGAACTAGGGGCATAAATCGTACGGTATTCAACGGGAAATGTCAGCAGGAAGCGTAAAAAATAAAAAAATCATGTACAGATTTCCCATTTCAACATATTTTTGTAACTAATGCATTGAAAACTCTTTTTTAATTATAAATTAAGTCAATCTGTTCTTAAGATATTATGCTGTGAAGCGCCACCTCACTTGCCGCATCTGACGAGCCGCCACTGGTAAATACCAATGAACGATCGATCCTGGGATTACCGCACATTTTCGAATTTTTTATTTCGGGATCTACTTTGGGCAATAATATAAAAAAATCTAATAAAAAAAATGTTAGTGTGACCGGACCGGGCCCCTAGAAGCAGCGGGCCCGTGTTCCGGCGAACACATGGAACACCGGTAGTTACGCCACTGCACTTATCAACTACATCCAGTACGAGAACATCCAAGGTGCCATCAAGAATACGCCAATAGTTGCAGCACCACAAATAGTTTCTGTTGTTGATACAAATTTCAAAGAAGTATCTCTTTCTTTAAAACCAACTTTGTTCCGGTAGATGGACAACGGTTAAGGCTTATAGATTCCCCAGGTTTCGAAATTTCCAAAGATGGACAACCCGAATTTAATACCCTCAGTCTGCCCTGTCATCTGCGAGAGCTGCACGCTGTGTGCTTTTTTTTAAGATCGTCGGATACACAAATAAGTCGATCGTTCGAGGACCTAATGAGACAAATTGTGACAAAATTAGATGCAGCTGCCCATAAAAATTTTATTTTCATTTTTACGAGAGACAAAAATAGTATATTATTATACTAGTTTAATAAGACGTCTTATTGTGACACGCATGGGTTTGGGGCACGACGAGCGCAGCGAGGAGTGCTCCAAAGGAATAAGTGCCACAATGCGTTTTATTAAACGAGTATAATATACTATTTTTTCTACTTTGCATCTGATCGGAAACAAAAAATTAATAAAAATTCAAGGTTATAATTTAGGGCCTTTTAATTCGAATGGTTAGTTGTAGCGTTGTGGCTAACTCACAATGTCAAAGTTTGACATCTAACCACCGAACACTAACAAACTAACCTAAGTTTGCCTCAAAAAATGGAAGAAGGGGGCCCCACTTCTTGCACGCCACCTGAAATACAGTTTAATAATTGATCCCATTATTAAACTGGTTTCGGTTTAATAATGAGACCATTGGTAACGCAAAGTAGAAAAAGTATATTTTAGTGCTAGCTCTGCACAGTATGCTTTAATGAGATTTGTGAATATCATCAAATCAACAACACCTGGAATTAACATTCCAATAGGTACCGAAAACTTATTCTGTGTGGACAATGAAGCTTTTGTAGGGGAGAAAAATTTGGAGAAAAATAACAACTTTTTTTTTCGATGTGTGTGAGGGCGTTACATTATTTCTTTACCAGTTATCCACATTATCAAGCGTCAGATTTTGATATAACATAAATTATAAACTCACTTTTAAGTCGTCGGTGTTGATAGCTGATTAATTACATTTATGGCCTGGTCTGGACAGCTGGTGTCGAGGTGAATCGGTCATAACAACAATTATGCAACCTGTAAAATGTGATTGGGGATGTGAGCCATCGATCCCTAAAGTCGATGTGGCGAATTTGCTAATCGGGTATTACTTTTTAAATAGCGAGTCCGTGTCATTTTGACTTATTATCAGTCAGCAAGGTTGGTACTACTTTATCAAGAATATGACTGCTTTAATTAACAATTATTTCATCAATCAATGAGCTCTGTCCTAATGGTTGGAATCACACATGGTCCATACTGCCCGGTACAGAGTGTACAATGAGCACTAAGGGAAAACCGCACGAAGTGCTCACTCTCATACCGTCGTAGGGTATAGTACGGAGTCTACAAGGGGCGAAGGGGAAGGCCGCGCGACGCACCCAGCTCCTGCTACTATCCCAGGTCTAGTACCAAAGGGTGCAGTGACACCAAGGGAATAACCGCACGAGGTGTCCACTTTGATACTAGTCCTTTGACCACAGACATCAGGATTGATGTCCGCACCGTACCCGCAACAACAGGCACCTACCCGCAACAACAGGTATTTCTTCGCCCGCAACAACAGGCATAAACCCGCAACAACAGGTCTCTTCGCCCGCAACAACAGGCATAATGGTATCACAGGAAGGCGGACAGCCTAATCAAATTAGCTCGACATGTCAAGGCTCATTTCATCACTTTTACTATTTCAATATCTCTCAAGATTATGTTAACATTATTTGACAACTGACTCGGTACCACTTTTCAATAATCATGTCAAATACAACAATAACAACAAGGAACGGACTCACCAAAATCACAGTAAATAATCCAATTAGCTTTTACAACAATTAACAATGCAGATTACACCTTAGTGAAATCTCACTCACATCACCCCTAAGACCGATAACTCAGTGATACACTCACCTCAACACTTTTTAATCAACCGTAACACGTAACTGTTAAATTCGTCTTAATCGGTACGCGTCCGTTTTAAAACTGGAATCTTTATCCGGGCCTTTTTAGTTACACCCTCTCAGCAGAAACACAGCCAACCAATCAGCCCCAATCAGGTCTATTTTTCTTGGTTCACACATGTGGTTTCTGTTTTTGCCTGCGACTGCAATAATCTCAGATTTGTTTCGCTCAAGTGTTACGTCGCCGGACCACCCGCACCCCTGCATGGCAGGCCATTAGTAGGCGTGTGAAAGGACATAGGCCAGTTCCCAGTTTCGGGGAAATATATATTTTTACGAGCCCCAAATCAGCATGAAACTCTTAACTGCATGCTTTTACACCCCAAATATAAGAAATATGAAGAGAAACACATGTTAAGTGCAAACCTATCTTACACTTTCGTTCATTTGGTGGCACATTTGTGTGGTGTACCTTTAAATTCCAAAGAAACTAAAGAGTCTGAACTTAGTTGGAAAAAATCACTAGCAGCATGGAAGCGGTATTTTTATTTAAATTAAGGAAAGAAAAAATATTTGTTGAATTTTTTCAGACTTGTCGCTTATGTTAGCAAATTAACACCTTTCCAACTCCCGGTTAATGGTGCCGTTGAACCGATCCAAACATTTCTTGAGAAAAATTCTCCTCCTTTATTGCATATAGCTCTCTCCAACTTTGAAAACACAAAAAAATGCAAAAAACTCCTTGATGATTCGGAACAAGCATCCCACATGGTTGATGACATGAAACAAGTAATTCAGAAGCCTCCAGCACCAAGTTCTCATCACAAACAACACCATCCCAAAAAAAAAACAAGTAAGTATCTAATTTTTTCTGGTTTTGTCTATAACTGGTCAACTGCTTAATAAAACATTTGTCTAGTCTGGAGAGTCAGACGAGATAAATAACTTTGAAAATAGTTATAAAAAGCAGGGCGTAACGAACGCCAGAAATTATGCTGAGATTGATTTTGGCAAAAACACAGTAAAGTATATAAAAATTAATCGATCCATGAAAAAATTTGTACCGTTTTAGGAATCGCAAACAAGAGATGCTGTCGACGGAGATATGAATGCAAACCTAGAAAAAACCGCCAAAATCTTGAAACAACAGAAAAAATTTATCGCAAACGCACACAAAGTAGTTGAAACCCAACAAGACAAAATTGATCAGGTTTTAGAAAAGTTTGCTGCACTGGCTACATTTTTAGAAACATATGGCCTAGATGACAACTTGGAAGCAAAAATCGCGTCTGCATCGTCTGAGTGAGTCTCTTTTTATTTTATTTCACAACTTTAATACCAATTTCAGAGAGAACAAGAATGAGAGAGAGAAAAAAATGTTGGACAAACTGCGACGTGTGTACGAACGTATCAAAGAAAACGCGAAAAAGGAGGGAAAAACAGAAGTAAAGAAGGACGAGATAGCGACGATCGGGAAAGAGCTCGAAAAGCTTCAACTTTGCCAGGAAGTTCTCGATAATATATTCAAAAATTAAATATTCAATCACTGTTTACCTAAATATAAGTTTTAATAATTGGAAATTGATTTTTTTTTTAACAAGGAGATGAAGGACGGACTATCGCGTCATACTACTTTAGATAAAGTTATTTTTCTTGTTTCTACGAATACGATAAGACGATAACGTAATGAATTAAGATAACCTTGAGGAACACTCCCTTGTAGAAGCTTTCTGCGTCGAAACTTATTTATACGATTTTTTCAACAGAGTAGATCATTAACTGATAACCGTATCTCAAGCGAATAGAAAATCTAGAATCGTTTTCCTAGTGTTGTCAAGAGACAGGTAAGCAAATCCTTCGCAATTTATTTGAACTATTAAGTTATAGTTATTTACTGTCATCTTTCTCTTAAAATATCTCTTGATCCTTTGATAGACGAACCTTTCCCGACGACTCCAAAATGTGAGATCGCTTTTTGAAACTATTCAAAAAACCTGCTGCCGCAAACGACGACGTCAACATCCTCCTACTGGGAGAAACGGGAGTCGGAAAATCGACTCTAATAAATTCAATTTCGAACTACTTCAAGTATCCCAGTTTTAAATCGGCGCAAAAAGCGAAAATCGACACTTTAATACCTGTGAGTTTAGGACCAACGAAAGATGACAACGAAATCGGCGTCAAAATATGCCTACTCCCCGTCAAAATGGACGGTAAAGTCTTCTACTTGAGACTGATTGACACCCCCCCCAATCGGAGACCCCAGAGGAATAGAACAACACAACATCAATCTGGATAACATTTTGGCATACCTAGCGACTTTAAAAAAAGTCCACGCCATTTGTTTTGTTTTAAAGTCGAATCAGACGAGGTTCACGAAGTACTGTCTTAAGCAGACGTTGGCACGACTGGATAAGAGTGCCAGTCCGAACATAGTTTTTATTACCACTGATAGTAAAACGGGTGAGAATAGAGCTGAAGAGTGTTTGGTGCCACTGCATGGAGATATCCTATCAAAACCTCCACATACGTGTATTCCTTTAAGCAATAGGAACATTTTCGCTTTTGACAATGAAGCATTCTCAGCCTTGTTGGACATCCAAGATGGAAAAAGTTACAACCAAGACGAATTAAAAGGTTTCGCCCGAAGTTGGAACATCTCGTCCAAGGAAATTCGACGGTAAATGCTCAACTGTCACCTTTCCCTAGTCAAACTTTGTGTTTTTTAGGTTGCTGACATACATTATCGGCGATTTGAAAACTCCAGCTTTGGAACCGCACGAAGTCGAAGCCACCATCGGTCTTGACGAAATCAGACTTCTCGTAGAACCACTAGCAACTTCCATTGATAAAGTGTCAGAACTTATACAAGAGAACGTCAGATTTCTCGAGAAACAGACACAACTGGAAGGAGAGCGTGCATCTATTTCTAGAATCATTGCCAAGATTTCGTACTTCCTTCAAGAACACGAACTGACACCTTTCGGTGACGCCCACAGCGACTACATTGAACAACTTATCAAAAAGTAAACCATTGCATACACTTTGACCGAAACTAACGCAATCTTTTCAGTGAAAACCGTGAAGTCGTCGCGAAACTCAAGAAACTCCTCAGTCAACAACATCACGTTCAAAAAATCCTGGAAGAAAGCGCGAAAGAGTTCCAAAATGAAGCAGCAAGCAGCGATTTGACTCCTCAAGGAATCAAGAACGGTATCACGGAACTGTACAATTTGAAACACATGGGGAAGAGGATACAAGAACTGAAATCTGAAATTTGTCGTTACAAAGGAAGCCAGGAAGATTTCGGCTACGTTGTTTCGTCAGAAATCGACTTGGACAAGATAATCGTTGAAGAAGAAGAATATGAAAAAACGGACTACAGTCAAAGAAGCGGGTACGACATCGACGAACCTGGAGATTACGATTTCGGTCACAAAATTTTTTCAAATACTTCACCTTTCAATGGCCACGGAACCCACCACCAGGAGACACGTGACCAAGAAACAAATGAAGATTCTGACAAAGAATCCAGTCCAGAAGACATAAACTTACATAGAATGCAATATAGAGTGGAATATTCGTTCAAACGTGACTCTCATAGCAACGAAAGTTATGGTTCCGACCACCGCGATTTTAGAAATTCGTCCACAAGTGATTATGATGTCAAAAGTGGACATTCTGCTACATCTCGTCACAGCAAAAAATTTGAAGGCGATGATTCAGATGAGGATGGTTCTGTCAAATCAAATCGTGCCAAAAACAACTCTTCACCTTCACGGTCTAGAGTGAAATACTCACCTAGACGTCATCGCTATAGCAGCGACAGCTATGATTCAGATGACCGTGATTTTAGAAAATCGTCCGTGAGTGATCATTCTGCCAAAAGTGGACATTCTAGCTACGAAAATAAATCCGGTATTGAAAGTTATGATTCAGGGAGTGATCATTCTTCTGCATCTTTTGACAGCAAAAGCAGCACCAAAGAACCTAAAAACCAAAGCCGGTCTAAATCTTATGAAGCCCATGATTCAGATGATGTCAAATCAAATCGTGCCAAAAATAACTCTTCACCTTCACGGTCTGAAGTGAAATACTCACCTAGACGTCATCGCTATAGCAGCGCCAGCTATGATTCAGATGACCGTGATTTTAGAAAATCGTCCGTGAGTGATCATTCTGCCAAAAGTGGACATTCTAGGTACGAAGATAAATCCGATATTGAAAATTATGATTCAGGGAGTGATCATTCTTCTACATCTTTTGACAGCAAAAGCAGCGGCAAAGGATCTAAAAACCAAAGACGGTCTAAACCTTATGGACCCCATGATTCAGACGATGATGGCTGTGTCAAATCAAATCGTGCTAAAAACAACTGTTCACCTTCACACTCTAAAGTGAAATACTCATCTAGACGTCATCATAGTAGCGACAGCTATGATTCAAATGACCGTGATTTTAGAAAATCGTCTCTAAGTGAGAGTAGTTATGATTCAGGCAGTGATCATTCTTCTACATCTTTTGACAGCAAAAGCAGCGGCAAAGGATCTAAAAATCAAAGACGGTCTAAATCTGATGATTCAGATGATCATGCTTCTATTAAATCAGATCATGCTACAAGTAACTCTTCACATTCACACTCTAGACGCCATAGTAGCGAAAGCTCTGATTCTTCTGGACACGAAGATAAATCCCATGATTCAGATGGCGATCGTTCTTCAAGATCGTTTGACACCACAGGCAGTGAAAGCTATGATTCAAATGACACTGGGGGGTCTAAATCTAACGACAACTATGATTCATACAGTGATCGTTCCATCGAGTCCTACAGATCTGATTACAGTGCATCAGGCGACGAAACTATGTATCACGGTCGTTACGAATCAGATGACGAAATCTAGTCAATCACACAAACCAAAAGACTAAAAAAGTGATAAGTTTGAAACGCATACAAAAAATTCAGAAATAATGTAGAACCATCTTGAAAAGGAAGAATCAGTTTCAAACTAAGATGTATTGAGTTTTTAAGTTAAAAAAGTAAACCTAGACCCACCGAGTCAAAAATTGCACTTGTTGTACTGTTTCAATCCAAGTCTAGACCAAGTCTGGTTTGCAATAAAAAATTTTAATAATAATATGGTTTTAATGTATCGATTAATAGTGAATTTATGCTTGTTTGCAATGCACTTTCAATCACTTGGTTGACGCTATGTTTTACGCTATATTTTGCTTAATTTGACAGATTTGGTTCCGATCAAATTAAGTAAAACTTAACCTTAATCAAGTGCTGAAAAGCGCGATGCAAACAGGGAGTCGTGAAATATTTAAATACGTCAAGCATTTCGCGGGTTTTGTGAATAATTTTCCGGCCAAACGCAAGAGGTCGCTTCAGGCGATTAGTTTTGAAGTTAATTAAATTAATCGAGGAAGTACGCCATCTATAATAGCAATATTAATACTCTCTCGTTTATGGTCCAGACACATCTGTGCCGTCGGTCCACTTAGAGGTAAGAAAGATAATTTCTTTTTTGACTTTTGCTTTATGGTTTTGATGCCAAAAAAGCGCCAATCGGTTTGTTTAAAATGTGGTTATCCCAAGTATTTTAATAAATAATTTGAGGGTAAATGATATGCAAGTCAGAACTGCGTAAATCTTTGTAATATTTAATTTTTAAGAGTATGATTATTTATTTTGGAAATATGCTTAAGATTTGTTTCAATAGGTCCTTTCGTGAATTTTTCATTGATGATTTTCACGATATCTGTTTGCGGGATGTTATTTGTCGACTTTTCGCTGCCTATGGAAATAGTACACTTTTCAACTCCAGCATAATCCAGTTACGTTTCTTTGTTTTGCGGCACTGATGGTGGTACCAGTAGGTACCGAAACATGTTAGTCTGCTTTCTACATTGGTAAAAAAATTGTGCCAACGATCATTATTTTTTCGCTTATAAAATTTTAAACGTGGGGGATTTAAATGTTATAGTCATCGCAATTTTCGAAAAAAAAATGAAGGTTGCATAACAACATTTTATAACAATAAATGCAAGATGTTGAGCAAGCGCACGTTAGCTTAGTTGGTAGAGCGCAGTGCTATAAAATTAAGGTTGCGAGTTCAACCCTTCATGAGCCATATTTTCCATCTTACACAACTACTTAGTACTTTTTTCCAAACTGGATTTGTTTAGTTCTACGAGGGAAGTTAATTTGACTTACAGGAGAAATTTATTTTTATAATTTACATGCATTTTAAAGGAACTGAACTTGTTTTAGCATAGTTTCCAAATCATTTTCTACGATTTATTTTTATTATGTTAGATAGTCAAAATCGATATTGTGGACCACTTCAAATGTACAAACTGATAGTAATCGGTATTTCTTAAAATTACTTGAAAAGATAACATTTATTCGTGCCAGAATATAAAAAAAATTTACACAAGTCATTGCACATATATAACAAAATAACGAAATACATGGATTACACATCTTAACATAACAAAATAAAGAGATACATGGTAACAAAGGTAATCAGTAACTTTGAAATAAAATCCATTTCATCACGCATTTACAAAGTTTATCCGTGCCTAGATTTGGGATTTCCGCTACACTTTCAAATGTACGCCTTTTTTGTGATAATAGAAAGATAAATTATTAATTAATAAAGTAACTTCAAAAAAACACGATCTGACCATGTGTGACTTACAAGTTTGACATGTAAGCTTACTTAGTATGTAGTACCATAAAGTAGTACTTTCGTGACAAGTGTCCACTATTTCCAGCACTTTCTCAGACACCTTCAAAATGTTGAAGGGCGTCTTTAGCTTTTTCAAAGACCCCCAGGCCACCCCTGACGACATAAACCTCCTTCTTTTTGGTGAAACCGGCGTAGGAAAGTCCACTTTCATAAATTCCATCTCGAACTACTTCAACTATTCCGACTTCAAGAGAGCCCAACGCAGCAAAATCGAGGTTCTTATCCCCGTCTGCTTGAACCTTTCGGGCAAAACCAAAATCTGCGGAACCGCGGACGAAAACGAAGATCACGTAAGCGGCAAATCCGCCACCCAACACGTCAAAGTGTACCTATTCCCCATCAAAATGGGCGGAAAAACTTTCAATTTAAGATTGGTTGATACTCCAGGAGTCGGAGATCCCCGAGGCATGGAACAGGATAACATCAACCTCGATAACATTCTAGCGTACTTGGCGACGTTGAAGAAACTCCACGCCATTTGCTTCATCGTAAAGTCCAACCAGACCAGATTCACCAAGTTCGTGGAGTACTGTTTGAAGCAGATCTTGGTTCGGTTGGACAAAAGCGCCAGCCAAAACATCATATTCATCACCACGTACAGTAAGAGTGCTCAGTATACAGCTGGAGAGACTAGGATTCACTGTTTGGAGCCGCTGGTCCGCGATATCCAGTCGAAACCTCCCAACGTGAGTATCCCCTTGAGCGACAAAAACATCTTCGCTTTGGACAACGAAGCCTTCAAGGCACTCTTGGAGATGCAAGAAGGTAGAACCTTCAGCAAGTACGAATTGGAAGGTCTGGCTCACAGCTGGGACATCTCGTCGAAGGAAATTCGACGGTAAATAAGCAATTTTCCTTTTCGCAGCAGTCAAAGTTTTGTTGTAGCTTGTTGGCGTACATTATCGGGGACGGCAAAACCTCGCCACTGAAGCCCCACGAGGTCGAAAACACCATCAGTGTTAACGAAGTGAGGTTTCTAATTGAGCAACTCGCGACTCCTATTGCTCAGGTGTCGGAGCTCATTCAAGACAACCTCAGGTTGCTGGAGAGGCACAAGAGGAACCTGAGTTTGGAAAACCAAACCCTCGACGACCTTAGGAAACAGCTGTTCATACCTTGTGTCGACCTTCAAGTGAAGGAATTGTCGCACCCTGTCACCGTGTGCACGGTGGTAGTCTCCAAGTGCGCCGAGGTCATCAAGGTGAGATTACGAGTGTGATGACCTTTCCACGTTGTTGATGTTTAAGGTGAACGACGTGACCCAGTGGCACTACAAACAGAGATGCCACAACCCTTGCTACCTCTCGGGAATCCCCAAAGAGATGATTGGCGATCCGGGAATTATCAATTGTGCCGCCATATTGGATGACACGTGCAAGGAGTGTGGATGTCACTGGAAAGTCCACATGCACATCTACAAAGAAACCGAGAAAATCAATGTGCATAAAGAAAACCAGAACGTGAAAAACACCATAAAGACCAAAGAGGACGGGCGACTCGCCATCGAAAAGTTGATGAAAGAGCTCAACCAGGAAATGGAGGAACGGGAGGAAGAAGGTAGAATCATCTCCGAAAGCATCGCCAAGTTTTCGTATTTCCTGCAAGAACACGCCTTGACGCCCTTCAACGACGCCTACAGCGACTACATCAAACAACTCATCAAAAAGTAGGACGTTGTTGTGGTGTTGACCATCACTAACTGTCTATTTTCAGCGAGCAACACTTGGGGAAATTCGCTGACAAGGAAGTCATCGTCAAGCTGGAGAACCTCTTGAGCAGACACGAACAACTCCAAAAGACTTTTCAAGAAACCGCCCAAAAGTACCAACCCGCGTCTGCACACTTCGACCTGAGCCTTGAAGGGATCAAGAAGACCATCACTGATTTGTACCATCTGAAGCACATGGGGAAGACAATCCAAGAGCTCATCGAAAAGTCGACGGCTTCTCGGCAGAAAGAAACGCAGAAGAATTTTAACTGCGTGGTGTCTAGAGAAATCGTTCTGGAGGATGCGAAGAAGAAGGTCCAAGAAGGTAACCAACGCAAGGTCGTAGACGAAAACGAAACACAAGACGATATTGAAACGACTTCTACTCCAAAATGCGAAGTCTCTCACGAATACACAGTAAACGGAGGTGGTTCAGAGGACTATAATTCTGTAGAAAGCTCATCTAGCAATGACGGAGAAGACAAAAAGTCAAAGCATGACTCCAAAGACGAACAAACTAACAACAGAAATGAAAATGATGATGGCTCTGAGAGTGATTCGTCTACGGATGCATATGTTACCTGCGATTCGTCGGACGGCTCTGAAGATGGCCGAAATGGAGTCAAAGGAAAACGTCCTGTCGAAGAATAAGACAATTTTCTACGTTTTGATTAAGTATTGCACTTTTCATTTCAGTTTATCTTCTTTAACTGTATGTTGTGGTTAGAACTTTTTATTACAATTCCAATAAATAGTCTTCAGAACCAACGCGTTTCCTTTATTAATTATTATAAAATGATTTTAGAAAATCGTCCGTAAGTGAGAGTAGTTTTGATTGAGGCAGTGATCATTCTTCTACATCTTTTGACACTAAAAGCAGCGACAAAGGATTTAAAAACCAAAGACGGTCTAAATCTGATGATTCAGATGATCATGCTTCTATTAAATCAGATCATGCTTCAAGTAATTCTTCACATTCACGCTCTAGCCGACATGGTAGCAAAAGCCCTGATTCAAATGACCGTGATTTTAGATGATCACCAAGAAGAGATTATTCTTCTGGACCCGAAGATGAATCAGTTGGCGATCATTCTTCTAGATCATGGGGCAGCACAGACAGTGGAAGCTTTGATTCAAATGACACTGATTTTAGAAAATCGTCCAGAAGGAGTTATGGTGAATATTAGAATATTATGATTCAGGTGGTGACCATTCCACCGAGTCCTCCAGATCTGATTGCAGTGCATCAGGCGACGAAACTAGATATCACGGTCGTTACGAATCGGATGATCAGTATTCTTTTACATTTTTCGAAAAAGAACGCAGAACCAAAGAAAGATATTCTGAAAAATCGCAAAAATCTGAATCTGAAGACGAAAGATACGAACTGGATGACAGAAGATTCGGTCGTATTTATAAATAAATGGAACTCTAGTCAGTCACATCTTGAAAAGAAAAAATCAGTTTCAAACTATTGTGTATTGAGTTGCTAAGTTTAAAAATGGAATAAAACACATTTAGGTGCAAAAACAATTTATTGAAGTATCACCTATCAAATTTAGCGTTTCATAACACCTAGAGTACGGAAAAAGTGGTCTCCCGTTTCCGTGTGTCTGTCGTTTATAGTCTGTGTTAGAGCTTCAGCAAAACACTTCACCAAAAAATTAAGTTGCGTAGCTGACATCATAAAAGGTCCTTAAAATCAGTTAAAAATAGTTCTAACCAGACAAAACGTGTTTCGACTGATTGGTCATTTTTTTACTTTTAAAAATCCAAAAATCGAGAAGTGAAAGAATGAAAAGCCGAGAAATAGAGTTAAAAATTGAAAAATTGATAAATCGAGAAATCAAAAAATTGAAAAGTGAAAAAATTTTAAGAAAGAAAAATTGGAAAAATCGAAATGTTGATCAATTGAGAAATCAAAGTATAAAACAGTCGAAAAATTGAAAAATCTAAAATTTAACAAAAAGTTGAAAATCCATAAAGTAAAAAATCCAGGTGTCGCAAAATCGAAAAGTCGAAAAATCGAAATATTGAAAAATTCCAAAATTGAAAGAAATATCCAAAAAATTGGGAAATTAAAAAGTTGAAAAAGTGAGAAATCGAAAAACTCAAAAGGCCAAGTCGAAAAATTCTAAGTTTTAACAAATCGAAACAGTTTTTGGGCTCAACGTTTCGCACAGTTTCGTAATTTGCCTTATTCCTAATTTCGTTAAGAAATTAGGAATAAGGCAAAAGAGCACGGTAACTCAGTATGAAATATTGAAGAAATGAAAAATCCAAAAATTTAAAATTTAAAACATTGAAAAATTAAAATACCGTAAAATAAAAAAATCGAGAAATCCAAACATCAAAAAATAAAAATTCGAAAGTGTAAAATGAAAAAATCAAAAAACTGAAAAATCAACACATCGAGAAATCGAAACATCGAAAAATTCAAAAACTGAGACACAGAGAAATCGAAAAATTAAGAAACCGAAATAGGCCAAAATCGAAAAATCGAAAAATCGAAAGTTATAAATGAAAAAATTGAAAAATCGAGAGATTGAACAATCAAAACATTGGAACATTCGAATCTCGAAAAATCGAGATCTCAAAAAATTGAACAATTAAAATATAGAAAAACTTAAAACTCTAGAAATTGAAAATTCTAGAATTTGAAAAATTGAAAAAAAATTGAGAAGTTAAAATATCGAAAAGTTGAGAAAATGGGAAATGGAAATATAAAACAGTCGAAAAATTGAAAAACCCGAAGTTTAAAAAACGAAAAACTGAAAATCCAGAAGTCGAAAAATCGAAAAGTCGAAGAAAAGCACCAGAAAATCCTAAAAATGAAAGAAATATCCAAAAATTGAGAAACTAAAAAATTGTAAAATTGAGAAATCGAAAAATTGATTAATTGAGAAATCGGACGACTGAAAATTTAGCAACGTTAAAATATGAAAAATCAAAAAAACGAGAAATCAAAAAACGATTAAAATATCGCAAAATTGAAAAATCGAGAAATCCAAACATCAAAAAATCAAAAAATAAAAATTCGAAAATCTAAAATTTAAAAATCGAAAATTGAAAAGCCCAAAACTAAAAAATCGAAAAACCGAAAAATCCAAAAATCGAAACATCGGAAAATTCAAAAAGTGAGGCGTCGAGAAATCGAAAAAGCAGAGGATCGAGAAATGAAGGAATGGAAAGCCGAGAAGTACAGTTAAAAATTGAAAAATTGATAAATCGAGGAACATCTCAATTCTAGAAATCAAAAAATTGAAAAATGAAAAAATTTTAAGAAAGAAAAATTGGGAAAATCGAAATGTTGATTAATTGAGAAATCGAAGTATAAAACAGTCGAAAAATTGAAAAATCTAAAATTTAACAAAAAGTTGAAAATCCATAAAGTAAAAAATCCAGGTGTCGCAAAATCGAAAAGTCAAAAAATCGAAATATTGAAAAATTCCAAAATTGAAAGAAATATCCAAAAAATTGGGAAATTAAAAAAGTTGAAAAAGTGAGAAATCGAAAAATAGGTTAATTGAGAAATCGGACGATTGAAAATTTAGCAACGTCAATATTTGAAAAATGAAAAAAACGAGACATCGAAAAGCGATTAAAATATCGCAACATTGAAAAATCGAGAAATTTAAACATCAAAAAATCAAAAAATAAATATTCGAAAATCTAAAATTTAAAAATCGAAAATTGAAGAGCCCAAAACTGAAAAATCGAAAAACTGAAAAATTCAAAAATCGAAACATCGGAAAATTAAAAAAGTGAGGCATCGAGAAATCGAAAAAGCAGAGGATCGAGAAGTGGAGGAATGGAAAGCCGAGAAGTAGAGTTAAAAATTGAAAAATTGATAAATCGAGAAACATCTGAATTCGAGAAATCAAAAAATTGAAAAATTAAAAAATTTTAAGAAAGAAAAATTGGAAAAATCGAAATGTTGATCAATTGAGAAATCGAAGTGTAAAATAGTCGAAAAATTGAAAAATCTAAAGTTTAACAAAAAGTTGAAAATCTATAAAGTAAAAAATCCAGGTGTCGCAAAATCGAAAAGTCGAAAAATCGAAATATTGAAAAATTCCAAAGTTGAAAGAAATATCCAAAAAATTGGGAAATTAAAAAAGTTGAAAAAGTGAGAAATCGAAAAATTCAAAAAGCAAAGTCGAAAAATCCTAATTTCAAAATATCAAAAAATAACAATTCGAAAATCTAAAATTTAAAAATCGGAAAATTAAAAAGTCCAAAACTAAAAAATCGAAAAACTGAAAAATCCAAAAATGGAAACATCGGAAAATTCAAAAACTGAGACATCGAAAAAGCAGAGGATCGAGAAATGGAAGAATGGAAATCTGAGAAGTAGAGTTAAAAATTGAAAAATTGATAAATCGAGAAACATCTGAATTCGAGAAATCAAAAAATTAGAAAAATCGAAAATTTAAAAATTCCGAACATTCAAAAGTTGAAATATAGAAGAACTGAAAACTCGAGAAATCGAAAGACCTATATTTTAAAGATTCAAAAATTAAAACATCCAGGTGTCCCAAAATCGAAAAGTCGAAAAATCTAAATATTGAAAAATTCCAAAGTTGAAAGAAATATCTAAAAATGAAAAAATTGAAAAAGTGAGAAATCGAAAAACTAAAGAAGCAAAGTTTTAACAAATGGAAACAGTGAAAAATCAAAAATATCGAAACTTTGGGATGTCGAGAAAGGGAAGAATAAAAAAAAGGTTAATATGTGACCATTTTCCGGGTTGGGACTGTATTAAATGAGTTTTTGGGCTCAACGTTTCGCACACTTTCGTAAGTGGCATCTTCAGGAGCAGGGTTAAGAAATTAGGAATAAGGCAAAAAAGCACGGTAACTCAGTATGAAATATTGAAGAACTGAAAAATCCAAAAATCTAAAAATTTAATGTCAAAGAATTAATGTACTGGAAAATCCTAAAAATTAAAGAAATATCCAGAAATTCAGAAACTAAAAAACTGGAAAATTGAGAAATCGAAAAACCAAAAAAGCAAAGTCGAAAAATCGGAGAATTGAAGAACTGAAAAATTGAAAGTTCGAGAAGTCGAGAAATGGGAAAATCAAAAATAGATTAATTGAGAAATCGGAAGACTGAAAATTTAGCAACGTAAAAATTTGAAAAATCAAAAATGGAGAAATCGAAAAATCTAAAATTTAAAACATTGAACAAGTAAAATATCGCAAAATTGAAAAATCGAGAAATCCAAACTTCAAAAAATCAAAAAATAAAAACTCGAAAATCTAAAATTTTAAATTCGAAAGATTGAAAAGCTCAAAACTAAAAAATCGAAACACCGAAAAATCCAAAAATCGAAACATCGGAAAATTCAAAAAGTGAGGCATCGAGAAATCGAAAAAGCAGAGGATCGAGAAATGGAGGAATGGAAAGCCGAGAAGTAGAGTTAAAAATTGAAAAATTGATAATTCGAGAAATCAAAAAATTGGAAAAATCGAAAATTTAAAAATTCCGAACATTCAAAAATTGAAATATAGAAGAACTGAAAACTCGAGAAATGGAAAGACCTAGATTTTAAAATTATCAATTGAGAAATCGAAGTATAAAACAGTCGAAAAATTGAAAAATCTAAAGTTTAACAAAAAGTTGCAAATCCAAAAAGTAAAAAATCCAGGTGTCCCTAAATCGAAAACTCGAAAAATCGAAATATTGAAAAATTCCAAAGTTGAAAGAAATATCCAAAAATAAAAAAATTGGAAAAGTGAGAAATCGAAAAACTAAAAAAGCAGAGTTTTAACAAATCGAAACATTGAAAAATCAAAAAACCCGAAAAATCGAAAAATTGAAGGATTGAAAAAATCGAAACTTTAGGAAGCCGAGAAAAGGGAAAATAAAAAAAAAAGGTTAAGATGGACCGTTTTCCGGGTTGGGACCGTATTAATTGAGTCTTTGGGCTCAACGTTTCGCACACTTTCGTAAGTGGTATCTTCAGAAGCAGGGTTAAGAAATTAGGAATAAGGCAAAAGAGCAAGGTAACTCAGTATGAAGTATTGAAGAACTGAAAAATCCAAAAATCTAAAAATTTAAAATTTAAAACATTTATATCGTAAAATTGAAAAATCGAGAAATTCAAACATCAAAAAATCAAAAAAATAAAAATTCAAAAATCAGAAACTGAAAAATCAAGAAATCGAGAAATCGAAACTCGAAAATTTAAAAAATTGAAAAATTAAAATATCGAAAAGTTGAAAAACTGAGAAATGGAAATATAAAACAGTCGAAAAATTGAAAAATCCAGAAAAATGAAAGAAATATCCAGAAATTGAGAAAATAAAAAATTGGAAAATTGAGAAATCGAAAAACCAAAAAAGCAAAGTCGAAAAATCGGAGAATTGAGGAACTGAAAAATTGAAAGTTCGAGAAGTCGAGAAATGGGAAAATCAAAAATAGATTAATTGAGAAATCGAACTGAAAATTTAGCAACGTCAAAATTTGAAAAATCAAAAAATCGAGAAATCGAAAATTGTAAAATTTAAAACATTGAACAATTAAAATATCGCAAAACTGAAAAATCGAGAAATCCAAACTTCAAAAAATCAAGAAATAAAAACTCGAAAATCTAAAATTTAAAAATCGAAAGATTGAAAAGCTCAAAACTAAAACAGAGAGGCATTGAGAAATCGAAAAAGCAGATAATCGAGAAATGAAGGAATGGAAAACCGAAAAATGAAATTAAAAATTTTTAAAGATAATCTCTGAAACTATTAAGAGGTTCAGCAAAACAGTCAACCAAAAAATTAGTTTTCACCAAATTTAAACACCTCATAAAGGCACCACACATTCCATGTAGTCGTATTGTGTGTTATCTATAACCCAGACCTGCTGTATGTGTACATGATCGTGACCATGAATTTAATCGCAATTTGTATTCAGCGCCTTGATAAAAGCAAATCGAATGACTCATTTGCAAAGGCGCAAAGATCGAGAAAAAAATCGTAACTAACGAAAAACGCAAACCCAGACCCAACGAATTCCACCACTAAAACAAAAATCGACTTTCCTGTTTTGTTGTTATTGCAAAATTTAATCCTTTTAATCTTATCTCGTTGACATTACACTTATCACATTATTTCATTATCCGATTGGGTTTACCCTGTGTATGTATTGTTCGCAGCGGTCATTCTATTTATAGCTTTTATACCAGCGAATTGAGCGAATCCGCTTGTGAAGCACATAGAAAGACTGTTGATACGTGGATGATGCAACAGCGACCAGAGAATATTACTGAAGCGACAGCTCACACATTCCAGACAATTTCTTTCCCTCAAATAACTTCATTAATTTAAAATGAGCTTCAATCCGAGCTTCAATCGCAACCAGGATTTGTATTGTCGTGTTTCTGCACGTCGTTACATTTTTTTATGTTCGTATTAATCCATGCTTTTGTGCAGACCTCGCGTTTCTGTATCTTCTGTGCGTCAACAGTTCGACAACTGTCGCCAGAAACGATTGCAGCTATCGCCGTTGTGTTAACTTCTGTGCTTCCAACAATTCCAATATTCACTCCAAGTTCAGACTTCAGACGTGTTTGTGCAATTGTTGTTGTAAGAGGTAAGAAACATAATTTCTTTTTTGATTTTTGGTTTATCGTTTTGATGCCAAAGGAGCGTCAATCGGTTTGTTTTATTTAGGCGTGTTAATCGGAAATATTTTGGTATCACAGCGTTAATAATTTCAGGGTCAATGATATGCAATAATACGCTTGAGCTTTTTTTTCGATATGTCCTTTCGCGAAATTTTTATTGTACTAAACACAAATAATGTAGTTTTATCCTGAGATATTTTATTAAATTTCCGAAATAATTATTTTTCTTGTCGCTGCAAAAGTTGCGTAACTTTTCGTCATTGATCAATTTAACAAAATTAAATATGGAAACGTATTACATACTTATTTCGTTTTATTTAATACTCTTGTAAGGTCAATTTGTAATATTTATACGACATAAAACGAGTCCGTCTGCATAAATGTGGGGTTCCCACGCTTCGATAAAACATTTTATTGTGGTTTTCCCAGAAGTGACGCAACGTAATTTATCTATCTATAACAAAGCGAAAATATGACACGTTATTATCGACTGCGCCGTAATGTAATCGCTAATTTTTTTTTTTTGACGAGTCACTACTAAATTACGTAATTAAAAAAAATAGTTTATAAATTTGTTGTAACAAACATGAAAAATTATATAAACTGTAAAACAAAAAAATTTTTATTATAGAAAGAGGGCTAACATGTTTCGATACCTACTGGTATCTTCATCAGAGCCGCCAATCAATTAAAAGAAATTACATTTTGGCATTTAATTTGGAATCTGTAAAACCGAATGATTTGAAATCTTGCAGACGCTTTACAGTTATGATAAGCATGATAAGTTTTTATTCAAAATACATTTACTTGTCCCCTCCAAAAAATTGATGACGTCACCTCAAAAGGTTGTCGAATAAACCCTACCTAAAATGTAGAAAATATGACAAGTCTGTACTTGTAATTTATCATTCCATTCATATTTTTTGGATTTGCATATACAGGATGACTCAAAAAAATTAACGAATGCGTGAATATATTTTATTTATTACTTCCCGAGCGTAAGCAAAGGAAGTATTGTAATCGAGTCCGTCGGCCGACTCTCTACTTTTACGTTTTCTCGATCTTTCATGACCCCTAGAAGACGAAGAAATAGGTCTCCCATTTCCGTCTGTCTGTCCGTCTGTCCGTCTGTCCGTCTGTCCGTCTGTCTGTCTGTCTGTCTGTCCGTCTGTCCGTCTGCCGTCCCGGATTTTTATTAGATAGATAATCTCCGAAAGTACTCGACCGATTGTTGTGAAATTTTGTACTTATATTAAGAATATCATGTAGATGGTAAAACGCTAACCAAAATTTGTCTAATCATCCCCACCACTAATGCGATGACGTCACTTCAAAATTGTACATAGTAAATAGGTTTTCAATTGTATAAAATAACATAGTTCTATACATGTAGTTTACAACTCTGAATCGACTTTTCACCCGAAACGTCCAGATTTTTGGAAAAAAAATCAAAATTATAAAACAACATTTTGAAATTTAATTTTTAATCTGCTAACCAGAATGCTTTGAAATGTTGCAGATGTTTTAAGGCTATAAAGAGCATCATAAATCTTTAGTCAAAAAATATTTGCTTATCCCCTCCAAAAACTTGATGACGTCAGCTCGAAAGTTTGCCGAATAAATCATATCTAAAATGTACAAAATATGATGAGCCTGTACTTGTCATTTATCACTCCATTCATATTTTTTGGATTTGCATATACAGAGTGACTCAAAAAAATTAATGAATGCGTAAATATATTTTATTGATTTAATCAGGAACTACAAAACGGAATGCTCTGACATCTTGCAGATGTTTTAAGGTTATAAAGAGCATAATAAATGTTTAGTCAAAATATATTTGCTTATCCCCTCCAAAAACTTGATGACGTCAGCTCGAAAATTTGCCGAATAAATCATATCTAAAATGTACAAAATATGATCAGTCTGTACTTGTGATCTATCACCCCATTCATATTTTTTGGATTTGGATATACAGGGTGATTCAAGAAAATAAATGAAAGCGTAAATTTATTTTACTGATTTACTCAGGAACTACAAAACCGAATGCTTCGAAATCTTGAAGATATTTTAAAATTATCATAAGCATGGTAAATTTTTGATCAAAACGTATTTGGTCGTCCCCCCTAAAAAATTTATGACGTCACCACAAAATTTTGCTGAATAAATCCTATCTAAAATGTACAAAATATGGTGAGTCTCTTCTTGTGATTTATCATTCCATTCAAATTTTTTCGATTTGCATATACAGGGTGACTCAAAAAAATTAATGAATGCGTAAATTTATTTTATTGATTTAATCAGGAACTACAAAACCTAATGCTTTGAAATCTTGCAGATGTTTTGAGGTTACAAGGAGCATAATAAATTTTTAGTCAAAATATATTTGGTTATCTTCTGCAAAAAACTGATGACGTCAGCTCAAAAGTTTGCCGAATAAATCGTATCTAAAATGTACAAAATATGATGAGTCTGTACTTGTGATTTATCATTCCAATCATATTTTTGGATTTGCATATGCAGGGTGACTCAAAAAAATTAATGAAGGCGTGAATTTATTTTATCGATTTAATCAGGAATTACAAAACCGAATGCTTTGAAATCTTGGGAATATTTTAAAGTTATTATAAGCATGGTAAACTTTTGTTCAAAATGTATTTGTTCATCCCTCCTAAAAAAATTGATGACGTCACCCTTAAATTTTGCTGAATAAATCCTATCTAAAATGCAAAAAATATGATGAGTTTGTACTTGTGATTTATCATTCCATTCATATTTTTTAGATTTTCTTAAGAGGTGGTTCAAAAAAATTAATGAAGTCAATTTATTTTATTGATTAAATTAAAGGCAACACTTATTATTAGTATTACACCCCAACCAACCCAATTTGGTAGACACAAAATTTGTTAAAGGAAAAACTCGGTTGAAACATAAGGGTAGCACGCTTATTTACATCGACTTTAACATTACAGACCTGCATTTGTTTTATGCGTTCACTTGATTCCGCGAATGTGAAATAGACATGTTTATAATCAACCAATTGTGAATTTCACCGTCAAGAATTAAAATAAAACCCAATGTTTTATATAATAAGCGGAAGTCGAAGCAATAAAATCGATGGTCGTTTTGTTTACAGTTTCTCTGTTTGACTCTCACGTATGCTGTTAGGCTTGTCATCTTAAATTAAGAATGTTTATACATACACGATTTTCAGTTGCCTCTGATACGTATACGTGAGTAAATTGTTTCGTTATTTTATTGATTATTACAAATCAATATTCAAAACGACCCAATTCATTTTCCCGAAAATTTGAGAATATAATAATTTTATTCTTAGTATTACACTACATCTATCCCAACTGATATACGTGACCTTGCAAAAATGTTGATGACGTCATCGCAATTTTTTTTTAAATTCCCACTACAAAAATGTAATGAGAAAAAAAAAACAATAAGCACGCAGTCGTCAAGTTTCCGACAGCGAGAGAAGTACTGTCTAAACTCTTTAGACCAATTTTTTAATCAGGAACTACAAAACCGAATGCTTTGAAATTTTGGAGATGTTTTAAAGTTAATGGTAAATTTTTGATCAAAATATATTTGCCCCCCCAAAAACATTGATCACGCCATCCCAAAATTTTTCCGAAGAAATACTATCTTAAATGTGCATTGTGCAAAGTTGCGTATACGGGTTCTGTGAAAAAAATTAATGACTGAGTCAATTTATTTTATTGATTAAATCAAGAATTGCAAAACTGAATACTTTGAAATCTTGACGCTTTGAAGTTATTGTAAGCCTGGTAACTTTTTAATGAAAATGTATCTGTTTATCAACCCCAAAAAATTGATTACGGCATCACAAAATTTTGCCGTGGCGCATATGTACAAAATATGAACAGACTTTTAATCATTGCATTCATATTTTTTAGATTTGCTTAAACAGGTGACTCAAAAAAATTAATTAATCAGTCAATTTATTATTGATCAAATTAAGAAAGAGCTACCCCATTTTCTGGAAATGTGAGAATACGCTCGTCTTTATAACAATAAAATAATGATAAGGTTAGAATTATAATAATAACATTCAGAATATTTTGTTCAATGGAGGCTTATGAATAATTTTAGTCATCTGTTTTGAGGCGATAAACTCATTCAAATCAAACAAATGTCTACGTGACATTCTTCCAATGTAATGTATTCTCGTTGATAATGTGCTGTAAATAAATGTTTTGCACTCATAACCGTTTTCGATGACGTCGTTGTTTATAAATAAAGCTGGGCGGTCGAAATTTCTTCATCCTATCTACCCGTCTGAAGAATCTTTTTTTTTATGGGTTTGGAAGAATCTACTGGTACCTTCATCAGAATCGCAAAATAACCAAAGAAATTACATTATGTTGCAACTGAAGTGGCCACTCCAAATTTTTTTTTCAATATCAGCATAAAGTATTTGCCTTTGTTTGTTTTGCGGCTCTGGTGGTGGTACCAGTAAGTACCGAAACATGTTGGCCGTCTTTCTACAATAGTGAAAAAATTGTGGCACGACCTTTGTTTTGTAATAATAAATACAAGAGCACACTGGATTTGTTTCGTGGTACTTGAGGAACGAGGAAAGTTATATTGAAATTTACATACTTATTTAAGAAACTGCACTTGTTTTAGCGTGGTCTCTAAATAATTTTTATTTAAACTTCAAGTGTACAAACTGATAGAAATCGGTATTTTTTTTTAAATTACTTAGACACATTGTCAAAGTTTATCGGTGCGTAGATCTGGAATTTCCACTACACCTTCAAATGTTTGCTTTTTTGTGACAATAGAAAGATAAATTATCGTGAAAATCCTATTCAATTTAATATATGTTTTCAAGACTTCAAAAAACACGGAATGACCTTGTGTGACTTCCAAATGAATGTATTACCATAAAGTAGTACTTTCGTGACAGGTGTCCACTATTTCCAGCACTTTCTCAGACACCTTCAAAATGTGGAGCCGCCTCTTTAGCGCGTTCAAAGACCCCCAGGCCGCCCCTGGCGACATAAACCTCCTGCTTTTTGGTGAAACCGGCGTAGGAAAGTCCACTTTCATAAATTCCATCTCGAACTACTTCAACTATTCCAACTTCAAGAAAGCCCAACGCAGCAAAATCGAGGTTCTTATCCCCGTCTGCTTGAACCTTTCGGACAAAACCAAAATCTGCGGAACCGCGGACGAAAACGAAGCCCACGAAAGCGGCAAATCCGCCACCCAACACGTCAAAGTGTACTTATTCCCCATCAAAATAGGCGGGAAAACTTTCAATTTAAGATTGGTTGATACTCCAGGAGTCGGAGATCCCCGAGGCATGGAACAGGATAACATCAACCTCGACAATATTCTAGCGTACTTGGCGACGTTGAAGAAACTCCACGCTATTTGCTTCATCATGAAGTCCAACCAGACGAGATTCACCAAGTTCGTCGAGTACTGTTTGAAGCAGATCTTGGTTCGGTTGGACAAAAGCGCCAGCCAGAATATTATGTTCATCACTACGTACAGTAAGAGTGCGCAGTATACCGCTGGAGAGACCAGGATTCACTGTTTGGAGCCGCTGGTCCGCGATATCCAGTCGAGACCTCCCAACGTGAGTATCCCCTTGAGCGACAAAAACATCTTCGCTTTGGACAACGAGGCCTTCAAAGCACTCTTGGAGATGCAAGAAGGTAAAACCTTCAGCAAGTACGAATTGGAAGGTCTGGCTCACAGCTGGGACATCTCGTCGAAGGAAATTCGACGGTAAATAGGCAACTTTCCTTTTCGCAGCAGTCAAAGTTTTGTTGTAGCTTGTTGGCGTACATTATCGGGGACGCCAGAACCTCAGCACTGAAGCCCCACGAGGTCGAAAACACCATCAGTGTTAACGAAGTGAGGTTTCTGATTGAGCAACTCGCGACTCCTATTGCTGAGGTGTCGGAGCTCATTCAGGACAACCTCAGGTTGCTGGAGAGGCACAAGAGGAACCTGAGTTTGGAAAACCAAACCCTCGACGAGCTCAAGGACCAGCTGTTCATACCTTGTGTCGACCTTGAAGTTAAGGAATTGTCGCAGCCTGTCACCGTGTGCACGGACTCCAAGTGCGCCGACGTCATCAAGGTGAGATTACGAGTGTGATGACCTTTCCACGTTGTTGATGTTTAAGGTGAACGACGTGACCCAGTGGCACTACAAACAGAGATGCCACAACCCTTGCTACCTCTCGGGAATCCCCAAAGAGATGATCGGCGATCCGGGAATTATCAATTGTGCCGCCATATCGGGCAAAGACAAGTGCCAACGCTGCGGCTGCCACTGGAAAGTCCACATGCACATCTACAAAGAAACCGAGAAAATCGAAGTGCAGAAAGAAGACCAGAACGTGAAAGACGCCATCAAGACCAAGGAGGATGGTCGTCTCGGCATCGAGAAGTTGATGAAAGAGCTCAACCAGAGAATGAAGGAACTGGAGAAAGAAGGAGGAATCATCTCTGAAAGCATCGCCAAGTTTTCGTATTTCCTGCAAGAACACGCATTGACTCCCTTCAACGACGCCTACAGCGACTACATCAAACAACTCATCAAAAAGTAGGACGTGTTGTGGTGTTGACCATCACTAACTGTCTATTTTCAGCGAGCAACACTTGGGGAAATTCGGTGACAAGGAAGTCATCGTCAAGCTGGAGAAGCTCTTGAGCAGACACGAACACCTCCAAAAGACTTTCCAAGAAAGCGCCCAAAAGTACGAAGCCGCGTCTGCATATTTCGACCTGAGCCCTGAAGGGATCAAGAAGAGCATCACCGAGCTGTACCAACTGAAGCACATGGGGAAGACAATCCAAGAGCTCATCAAAAAGTCGACGGCTTCTCGACAGAAGGAAACGCAGAAGAATTTTAACTGCGTGGTGTCTAGAGAAATCGTTCTGGAGGATGCGAAGAAGAAGGTCCAAGAAAGGAAGCAACGCAAGGTCGTCGACGAAAACGAGGTAGAAGGCGATGTTGAAGCCACTTCTACCCCAAAATGCGAAGTTCGTTACGAATATAGAGCAAACGGGGGTGGTTCAGACGACTATGATTCTGGAGAAAGTAGGTCTACTACCAAATCCGAGAGGTCCACCAAAAGTAAACCAAAGCGACTAGAAGAATCTCCAAAGTCATCTAGAAACGACAAAGAAGACGAGAAAAAGTCAAAGCATCGCTCCAAGGAAACCATCAAGAAGTCCAAGTCCGAAGAGAAGAGATCTGACCAAGCTTACAAGAGAAATCAAAATGATGATGACTCTGAAAGTGATGCGTCTACGGATTCGAATGTTAGCTGCGATTTGTCGGGCGACTCTGAAGATCGCCGAAGTGGAGACAAAGGGCAACGTCATGTCGAAGAATAAGAATAAATGTCTACGTTTTAATTAAGTATTCCACGTTTTTTAAGTATTAGTTGTGGTTAGAACTTTGTATTGCAGTTTACATTCCAATAAATATTTTTCAAAAGCAACGTGTTAGTTTTGACCAAACCCTTGGACCTAGAAAACTGGATATTGTCTAAGGTACTTCCAGAGGTACAACATCAAAAGCAATAATAAAGATTTCGTGAGCAAAGTACCAGCAGTACTTTATGGTTTCAGCCTCACCATGCCAGACATTAACGTGTTGCTTTTGGGTGAACCCGGCGTCGGCAAAACCACGTTCATCAACTCCCTCATCAACTACTTCTGGTACGACAACATAGAAGCCGCTGGTAACAGTTGCCCCATCGTCGCCGCCCCCCAGACCATTTCCTTCATGGACATCCACAACCAAACCCAGTTCTTGCCCTTGCACACCAACAACGACAAAACCCCGATCAAGTCCAACACGAAAACCAGAGAGTACTTCATCACTTTGGGCGAGTACCGACTGAGACTGATAGATTCTCCAGGACTCGACATTTCCGACGACGACCAAGACAAATTCAAGAACATTTTTAGAAACCTGAGACACTTGGAAGAGCTCCACGGGGTGTGTTTTCTCCTAAAATCCACTTTGTCGAGGATGAACAACTTGTTCGAGTACTACATCAGACAGACGTTGTCGGAGTTGGGTGAAAGCATCATCAGGAATTTCGTTTTCGTTTTTACCAATGGGAGAAGTGCCCATTTTGAGCCTTCCACTGCAAAGTCTGTGTTGAGGGGGTTCGTGGACTCGATCAAGTCGAAACCACCGTACGTGGAAATTCCTCTGAGTACCAGCAACGTGTTTTGCGTAGAAAACGAAGCTTTTGTTAACTTGATTGCGTTGCAATGTGGAGCGAACGTGCGTTCTTTGGGACAAGTGAGGCGACATTCGGAGGAAAGCTGGGAGTTTTCGTCGAGGGAGTGCAAACGGTACTACTTGTTTTGTGTAGAGTCCTTGTGGTAATTGTGTGTTTTAGCTTGATATTGCACCTTCAGGAGTTGAAACCTTACGATTTTCCAGTTAGTGGTGCTGTGGACGAAGTGAAGAAGTTTGTCGTCGAGAATTGTTACAACCTTTTCACTATGTTCCTGTCCAACCATCACAATTTGGTCAAGTGTAGACAATTTAAAAACGATTCGGGTGAAGCTTGCCAGATCGTTCAAGACTTGAAGTCAGCTATTTCCAGACGAGACGACTCAGTGCAGAGAAGTACCCAGGCAGGTAGTGGCAAGGGCACCGTACCCAAAAAACCCTCTAACAAGAGTACCACAGGAAAGAACAACGGCACACTCGACGTAAGAATTTTAACCCCCTTGGAACTCTTTTTTGTTTTATTTGTGTGTTATTTTAGAAGTACCAAAAGCGCGAGCTGGAAAAGTTCGAACAAATGCACAAAAAGGGTAAACCTGGACCGACTGGCAACTCAGGGATGGGTTACCCCCAAGCCGGATACGCCAAATGCTTGGTGAGTACCTCAAACAACCTTTCTATACTATATCCCGTTTTCCCAGGACCAAATCCAACAAGGCGTCACCAAAATGGACATCGACGATAGTGGTCACAAAGTCGCGCAGCTTGAAAATATTCTAAACAAACAGAGACAATTCTTTGAAAACGTGCACCAAGTTGTACGGTCCCAGACGGCAGAAGTTCGCAATGCTTTGAAAAAAGTGGCCGAATTTTCACTGTTTCTGGAAAAAAACAGAGTTGAGGACGAATTCGAAAATCAAGTTGCCCCTTTGATGTCAGTAAGTTTGGTTTTGGTGGTGTCTGAAATTCATGTGGACTTTCAGGGCGGACCACGATGCGGAAATCGCGTCAGTTTTTGACGACATGGTGCAGATTTATAGAAAAAGTAAAGCTGAATTGGGCAGAAACGGGGTGCAGGATTTGAGTGACGAAGACGTCCGAGAAGTGGCCAAGAAGTTCGAGAAGCTGGAGCACTATCAGGAGGTCATTGACAAGATCTTTAAAAACTAGATTGATTAAATTTTTAATTTGCATGTATGTACTTTTATAAATAAAGTTGCTTTTTCATTATTCATTTGTTTGTACAACTTGGTGACTTGGTGAAAAAGTAAATATAAAGTGGCTTATCATTTTCGCATTGGAAAATACGTGCTTTTTAATGTCGTAGATAACACTTTAAAATTAATATCGAGGAGAGATAATATCAAACTTAAGTGTCTTACACTCCGATAAATAAATAAGTTCGTCGCAGTGTTCTGAGACGTGTGGGTGTTCGAAGTGACAAAGGTAAGATTTTGGAACGATTTTCTGTAAAATGGTTTTAATTCATTCATTACAAGGGAAACAACCCGAGGCAGTTTTAGCCCTTTGTAGTAATTTTTTAAATTTGTAGTAAAAATGCCCTAGCAACAAAACTTCTTCGGGTAGTCTCCTAAAAAATAAACCACTTGGACTTTAAATCAGTTTAAAATAATGTCACATCTTAAGTTAGAAAATTACAAAAATGAAGTATAATTATTCCTGATAACGCAACTAATCTAGTTGGAAATTCCTGACCTCTCATAGAAATATGTATTTATCTTACTGCGTTTATCAACGCTGCGTCAACAAAATCGTAAAATAATTCCAATTTTATTTAGCGATGGTGCTAAACAAGTTCCTTGCTTTCTACCTGTTATCTTTGTCGGGTATCACGATTATTTTATATTGATTAGCGATTTCTTTTATAAAACAACATAATCATGTATTTGTGGTTTATGAATGCGCCTTGATTTGCTACCCTAGACCAACGTTCAGTTCGTGGAGCGTCGTACGTCTTCTTCTAAACTCGATTTGTGTGGTTCTGTATTAATTTAAAAATTAAAAATTACGTGTACGCTTAGCGTTCGTTCACCCATCCTTACATTAAACTGAGAATATAACACACCTTCCTGGTTTTCAGAATCTGGCTCAAAATGTCAGGACGAATCGCTAAGCTTTTTAAAGACCCTGAATCGAGCGACTGCGACATAAACCTGCTCCTGTTGGGCGGAACCGGCGTGGGCAAATCCACATTTATCAATTCAATATCAAACTATTTCAAATATCGGGACTTCAAATCGGCCCAAAAAGGAACAGTTCAAGTCCTTATCCCAGTCAGTTTAAACTTGTCGAACTCAAAAGTCGTCTGTGGCGATCCGGATAAAAACGAAAGCCACGACCACGGGAAATCGGCGACTCAGAATGTGAAAGTGTACTTATTCCCGATTAAAGTGGACGACAAAGTGTACAATTTGCGAATAGTGGATTCGCCGGGAGTGGGAGATCCTAGAGGAATCGACCAGGACAACATCCACATAGACAACATTTTAGCCTACTTGTCCACGCTGAAAAAGCTGCACGGGATTTGCTTCGTGATGAAAGCCAACGAGACGAGGTTCACGAGCTTCGTGGAGTACTGCTTGAAGCAGGTGCTGACCCGACTGGACAAAAGCGCTAGTAACAACATCATTTTTATCACCACGTATAGCAAGAGTGCGCAGTATACAGCAGGGGAGACGAAAATCCACTGCCTTGGACCTCTGGTGGACAACATCAAGTCCAAACCTCCCCATGTGGACATCCCCTTGACCGACAAAAACGTATTCGCTCTGGATAATGAGGCGTTTAAAGTACTCTTGGAGATGCAAGAAGGGAAAAAATTCAGGAAACACGAAGTGGCCGGCTTTTCCGAAAGCTGGAAAGCTTCGTCGAAAGCATGCAGACGGTAAATATAACAATTCCATTTTTATCTCACGCGAAATGGTTACCGAAGACTGAAAATTAACTCGTTTTTAGGTTGTTGAAGTACATAATCGGTGATGAAAAGACCGCACCTTTACAACCACATGAAGTCGAAAGTACCATCAGCGTCAACGAGGTGAGGTTTCTGGTAGAACAGTTAGCGACCCCCATTGCCGAAGTGTCTGAAAACATCCAAGACAACCTGCTTTTGCTAGACAGACACAAGAAAAACTTAAACCTTGAAACCCAATCTTTGGGTCAACTGAAGCAGCAGTTGTTCATTCCGTGTGTTGATCTAATAGTAAGGGAGTTAGATCAGCCGGTTACCGTGTGCACGGATCCCCGCTGCGCCGAGGTGGTTAAGGTACTAAGTCATCGGTACTTACACCAGTTATTCAATCAACATTATTTAAGGTCAACAAAGTCACTGAATGGCACTACGCGCAAAAATGCCACAACCCATGCTTCCTCGAAGGCGTCCCTAGAGAGATGGTCGGTGACCCAGGACTCCTCCAGTGCCAAGCCATACAAGATAACGAAAACTGCATCGAGTGCGACTGCAACTGGCGGGTCCACATGCACATTTACAAAACCACCGAGAAAGTCCAGACCCAGAAAGAGGACACCACCATCCGGGAGGCCATCAGAGACAAAGAAGACGCTCGTTTCAAAATACAAAAGTTGATGAAAGACTTGAATAAACGGATGAGCGAACTAGAAGAAGAGGGCGAAATTATTGCTGAGAGCGTCGCTAAATTTTCGTTCTTTCTTCAAGAACACGCACTGACGCCTTTCAACGACGCCTACAGCGACTACATCAAACAACTCATCAAAAAGTAAACTCCCGAAATTGTTAGATTCCTACTAACCGTCTTATTTTAGCGAGAAGTCGCTTGGTAAGTTCAGCGATCCCATGGTCATCCAGAAGCTAGAAAAACTAGTGCAGAAACACGAACATTTGCAAAGAACTTTGCAAAAGAATGCTCAAAAGTTCGGTAAAATGGGTGCACCCCCGAATTTGACGCCTCAAGCCATCAAGAAGAGCATCAGCAACCTGTACAAGCTGAAACACATGGGCCCCAAAATAGAAGAACTCATCAGAAAATCTTCCGCTTGTCGCAGTAGAGAAACACAGAAGAATTTCAACTGCGTGGTGTCTCAGCAGGTCGATTTGGACGATTTGTACTCGATTTATGGGGGAGGCAATTCTGTGTACGGCAGCGAATATTCGTACGGAACTTCTAGAAGCGATTACTATTCACAGTATGAACTAGATGGACTTGGTGGCTCTCAGCGAAAAACCCGAAGTCCGTCACGACATGAATACAGTCGATACGAAGCAGAACGCCAGTCCACTAGAAGTAGACGCTCCTCTGACTCAGACAACAGCGGAACCCTCACCTACGTGTCAGGTTCTAGGTCGGTCAAATCCAGCAAATCGACAAGGAGCAGCGGACGGAGTTCAGATGACGGCGCCTCCAGATACACATCTAGTTCTAGATCAGTAAGATCTTCCAGAAATAGACGTTCTTCTTCAGATGATGAGACATCCGTCAAGTATGAGTCGAGCTCTAGGTCGACTCGATCCACCAAAAGCAGGAACTCCGATTCAGATCACTACGCAGGTTCCAGATCAGTCAGATCATCAAAAAGTAGACGTTCTTCAGACGAGGATACATCCATCACGTACGGATCAAGCACTAGATCAGTTAAATCTATCAAAAGCAGACAGCTCGATTCAGATGACGATACATCCGTAAAATACGATACGAGTGCCAGATCAGTCAAATCATCCAAGAGCAGATATACTGTGTCAGATGACGATACATCCGTCAAGTACGAGTCAAGCGCTAGATCAGTTAAATCTACCAAAAGTAGACACCTTGATTCAGATGACGATACATCCGTCAAGTACGCTAGATCAGTTAAATCTACCAAAAGTAGACACCTTGATTCAGATGACGATACATCCGTAAAATACGATACGAGTGCCAGATCAGTCAAATCATCCAAGAGTAGATATACTGTGTCAGATGACGATACATCCGTCAAGTACGAGTCAAGCGCTAGATCAGTTAAATCTACCAAAAGTAGACACCTTGATTCAGATGACGACACATCCGTCAAGTACGCTAGATCAGTTAAATCTACCAAAAGTAGACACCTTGATTCAGACGACGACAAGTCCGTTCGGTCGTCCAGAAGCAAACGCACTCACAATTCGGATGACGATAAATCAGTAAGATCGTCTAGAAGCGACTATCATTCAGAATATAGAAGCCAGAAGTCTTCTAGAACTAAACACACTCCAGAGTCAGACGACAACAAATCCGTCCGGTCCCATAGAAGCACCTATTCTACTTCTAGCAAATCGTCTAGAGCGCAGTTTCCGCTTCCTGATTCGGACGACAATAAGTCCGGTCGTCACAAAATTTCTGGAAATAACTTTACGCACGACTCGGGTGATAAATCGTCTAAAAAACATTCTAAGAAATCGGATGACGAAAGATCCGTGCGGTCGTCCAGAAGCGAGTATTACTTGAAGGGTGGAAATCAACACCCGGAGAAATCGTCCAACAAAAATCCAGAGTATGAGTCAAAAGGTGGTCGTCGCTATCACCGCAAGGACGGACATGGAGAGAAATCGGACGAATATGAGAGCAAGAAGTCGTCCATGAGTCAGTACTATTCTCGGCAAGACAAGAAAAATAAATCTAAGAACGTTTCTGGTTCGTCGGATGACGACTCTCCCTACGACTTCATGGAAAATGAAGAATGAGATTTTGTGATTGGTTTCTGTATTTTAAATGTCAGTCGGATTTACAATAAATATGTTAATTTTTTGAGTGTTTTTCTGTTCGAACGATTAATCTTACCTAGAATGATTATTCTTACGTTTGCAAGGAGTACTCAGTTTTGCAGTTTCGAATTTAAATTGCAAAATGTAGTTACAAAACACGGAGTCATAAACCACAACTATCGAAGTATGTTGTTTTATAAAATTTAGATAATTTTGTCTGTTGTCAATTTTGGAGATGGCGTCCAAATTAGTTTGGCACCTGATTCGTCGCAGATAACACCTTAAATTGATACTTGGAAGAGATAATAAAAAAATTACAGTAAATAACATTCCGATAAGAAAATAGTAGTAGATAAGTTCGTAGCGATTCATGTTGTCAAATCAGTGCTCTTCCGTCGTTATAAAGGTAAGATTTTTAAAACTAGTTTCTTTAAAATTGTTTTAAATTATTCATCAAACTCAACAACCCGAGACAGTTTTAAAACAACAAAACTTGTTCGGGTAGTTTAAAAACCAAAAGGAATGTAAAATCGTGATTAATTTTATCGGAAATTTTTGAACTCTAACCGTGCTATTTTTAACGACACTACGTCAACAAATTTCGAGAGTACTTATTCAAGTTTTCTTGCTTTTGGGCTATTATCTACTTCGATCTTCGATACAATTTCTTATCTTTTTAGATAAATATATTATGTTCACTTTCAATTCTCCTTTTTCTACTTGAAATAATTTTGAACAAAAGATTTTCAGTTGGTTTCTTATTAGCTTAGCGTTCGTTGCAACATTCACCCATCCGCCCATTAAACTCAAACCTTTGCAAACCCACCAATAACACACCTTCCTGCTTTTCAGAATCTGGCTCAAAATGTTTGGACGAATCGCTAAGCTTTTTAAAGACCCTGAATCGAGCGACTCCGACATAAACCTGCTCCTATTGGGCGGAACCGGCGTAGGCAAATCCACATTTATCAATTCAATATCAAATTATTTCAAATACCCGGACTTCAAATCGGCCCAAAAAGGAGAAATCGAGGTTCTTATCCCAGTCCGTTTAAACTTGTCGAACTCGAACGTCGTCTACGGCGATCCGGACAAAAACGAGATCCACGACAGCGGCAAATCGGCGACTCAGCATGTGAAAGTGTACTTATTCCCCATTAAAGTGGACAATAAAGTGTACAATTTGAGGATAGTGGATTCGCCGGGAGTGGGAGATCCCAGAGGGATCGAACAGGACAACATCCACATAGACAACATCCTGGCTTACTTGTCCACGCTGAAAAAGCTGCACGGAATTTGCTTCATCATGAAGTCCAACGAAACGAGGTTCACGAGCTTCGTGGAGTACTGCTTGAAGCAGATGTTGACCCGACTGGACAAGAGCGCTAGTGAGAACATCATTTTTATTACTACTTACAGCAAATCGACTCAGTATACTCCAAGAGACACGAAAATCAACTGCTTGGAACCTCTGGTTAACAACATCAAGTCCAAACCTCCTCACGTGGACATCCCCTTGAACGACAGAAACGTGTTTTCGTTGGATAACGAGGCGTTTAAAGCACTGTTGGAGATACAAGAAGGGAATAGGTACAAAAATCACGAGATGGACAGCTTCACCGAAAGCTGGAAAGTTTCGTCGCAAGAATGCCGACGGTAAATATAGTCATTTTAGCTTTGTCTTACTTAATCGTTGTCGGAGTGTAGAAGTTAGGGTTTTAGTTTGCTGACTTACATCATCGGTGATGCACGCACCTCACCTTTGAAACCTCACGAAGTCGAGAATACCATCAGTATTAACGAGGTGAGGTTTCTTATAGAACAATTGTCGACTCCCATAGCTGAAGTGTCTGAAATCATCCAAGACAACCTGCTTTTGCTAGACAGACACAAGAAAAACTTAAACGTTGAAACCCAATCGTTGGACCAACTGAGGCAACAGTTGTACATACCGTGTGTTGATCTAACCGTGACGGAATTAAGCCAACCGGTTACTGTGTGCACGGATACTAGCTGCGCGGAGGTGGTTAAGGTACTACTTTATCAGTACTTAAGCGAGGTACTCAGTAATCAGACTATTTAAGGTCAACAATGTCACCCAATGGCACTACGTGCAAAAGTGCCACAACCCGTGTTACCTTTCAGGCGTTCCCAGAGAGATGGTCGGTGACCCAGGACTCACCCATTGCTATGCCATGCAAGGTACCGAGAACTGCACCGAGTGCAAGTGCAGCTGGAGGGTTCACATGCACATCTACAAATCCACCGAGAAAACCCAAACCCAGAAAGAGGACACCAACGTCCGGGACGCCATCAAAAACAAAGAAGACGCTCGCGTCAAAATAGAAAATTTGATGAAAGACTTGAACACCCGCATGAGAGAACTAGAAGCAGAAGGCGACATTATTGCTGAAAGCGTCGCTAGATTTTCGTTCTTTCTTCAAGAACACGCGCTGACGCCTTTTAATGACGCCTACAGCGACTACATCAAACAACTCATCAAAAAGTAAACCCCCGAAATTGTCAATGTCACACTAACTATCTTGTTTTAGCGAGAAATCGCTTGGGAAATTCGGCGATCCGATGGTCATCCAGAAGCTAGAACAACTCCTGCAGAAACACGAACATTTACAAAGAACTTTGCAACAGAATGCTAAAAAATTCGCAGGTGCACCTCCGAATTTGACGCCTCAAGCCATCAAGAACAGCATCAGCGACCTGTACAAGCTCAAACACATGGGGGCGAAAATAGAAGAACTCATCAAAAAATCGTCCGCTTGTCGAAACAAAGAAACGCAGCAGAATTTTAACTGTGTGGTGTCTCCACAGGTCCATTTGAATGATTCGCACTCGATATACGGGGGAAATGAGCCTGTGTATCAAGAAGATCCAGAGTATGAGTACGGAAGTCAGTATTCGTACGGTAGAAGCGAATATTATTCGCCGTACTACGATAGCAACCGGTCGAGAAGAACTCGCAGTCCGTCGGCAAGCGAATACAGTCGGTACGAAGAACGTCAGTACAGAGCACCAAGCTCTAGATCTGGAAGATCTTCCAGAAGTAGACAGTATTCCGGCTCAGACGACGAAACCTATTATTATAGATCGCCAATGAGCGAGTACTACGCTAGCAAATCCACCACAAGTAATAGACGCTCGTCGGATTCAGACAGCAGCGGAACCTACACCTATGTCTCAAGTTCCAAGTCGACCAGAGACCGTGGTTCAGACCACGACGCCTACAGTAGATACACATCTGGTTCTAGATCAGTACGATCTACCAGAAGCACACACGACACACCCGTTAAATACCACACAAGTTCCAGATCAGTCAGATCATCCAGTAGACGTTCTCATTCAGACGACGATACGTACTACGAACCAAGTTCTAGATCAGTGCGATCTACCAGAAGCCAACACCGCGGTTCAGACGATGAAAAGTCAATTCGATCGTCTAGAAGTGACTATTATTCAACGGGACATAGTCAGAGGTCTTCTAGGAGCAAACACAGTCCAGACTCCGCTAGATCCCACAGGAGCAATTATTCTTCTGGCAGATCGTCCAGACCGCAGCTGCCGCTTCCAGATTCGGACGACCATAAATCCGGGCGTCACACAAGACCTAGCAATAACTCCAGGCACGAATCGGGTGACAAGTCGTCTAGACGACATTCTAGGAAATCCGATGACGAAAAGTCCGTGCGGTCGTCCCGAAGCGAGTATTACTCGAAGGGTGGACACTCCGAGAAATCGAGCTATGATTCAAAGAGTGAAAGTCGACGCACATCAGATGGAAATAGATCGGACAAATATGACACTCGTAGGAGTCGGGATAAGGGAAGGAGCGAATCGAGTGATTCGAAAAAGTCTCCAGTGAGTACGTACTACTCTCAACAAAAAAAGAAAAATAAATCTAGGAACGACGACCCCATCTACGAAAATGTCGAAAGCGAAGAATGAGGCTTACGTATTTTTACATGTTAATCAGATTTGTAGTGGATTTAAATAAATATGTTTGTTTTATGAGTGTTTTTCTATATTTATCCCTCCAAACGATAAACCTAACCTAGAATGAGTCTTGATCGTCGTTTTAGATTCGCTTTCGGAAATTTTTAAGATGGGCGATGTTATCAACCTGCTCTTGCTTGGAGAAGGGGGAGTTGGCAAAACGACTTTTGTTAATTCTTTCTTCAATTATTTTACGTTCCCAAACCCCGAAACAGCTCGAGCGAACGGGGTCGAGGTAGTTGCACCTGTGACAGCCTTTTTCACGTCAAGTGGTAAACAGCACTCAGTACCGATCAAACCAACAACTACCTACGAACCCAGAAGCTCAACAGATGGAAAATTCAGAGAGTATGTTATTCAAGCGAGTCACCGCCAAGTGAGACTCATTGATTCGGTTGGATTTGAGGAATTGACAAGAGGAGAGGAGACATTCGAAGACGTTTTCCAACAACTTAAATCTCTAAAAGAACTTCACGGTGTTTGCGTCTTGATCAAATCCTCCATATCAAGAATGAGCAATTTGCTTGAGTCTTATCTGATGCAAACGTTGCTGGCATTTGATTTAGATGATGTGGTGAAAAATGTTATCTTTATCTTTACCTCCAGTGGAGATGTTAGTTTCAGCACTGGACATGCTCTTAGTGTCCTGAGAGGTTTCGTTGACACTATTAAATCAAGAATAGGCGCGAGCATTCCTTTGAAAGAACAAAATGTATTTTGTGTTGAAAATAAAGGCTTCCTGCACTTTGGAATGGAACGCAATAGAGTCAATTTCCATCAAGAAGCTATAAGAATTGCAATGAATAATTGGAATGTATCATCAGGAGAGTGTCTTCGGTCAGGACTGTTGTTTCTGTTTTCAATTCGCACTCATCGTCTCATTTTAGGCTTCTGTCTTACATTGAAAGTTTGCCGCCTTACAAATTTCCAGTTACCGGCGTGGCCCAAGAACTTGAACAATTTATTTTACATAAGGCGTTTAACCTCTGTGACATCTTCGCAGAGAACTTTAACAATTTGAACACATGCAAAACACTTCTGGAGGGTTCTGAAGAGGCCCGAAAATTGATTCGTGCTATACAGAAAGATAAATCTAAGAATTTAGACAAAGAGAGGTCCGAACTTCCGACACAAAATGTAGGTACTACAACGACAAAGTACCATCAATATTTTGATACATTAAATTCCAGGACAAAACGCGCAGTAAACCTGACGATTCACCAAAAAAATTACACCACAAACACGATCAGGTAAGCAAAGTGAGTATATTTATCTGGTAATCGTTAAGTGAGAAACCTTTTATTTTAAAAACCCAGAATATCAAGAAAAGGCCTTATCGAAAATCTTTGTTTCAGCCTGGACATCCCCAACAAAGAGAAGGCATGCACAGCAAGGGTTTTAGGAGCCTCGGCGCACATCCTCAACAGGTTGTAAAAAACAACAAGTACCAATAAAAATTCGTACTACAGTCGTACCACTAGAGATTCAAGTTTTGTTTTTCAGTCTAAGAGCTCAACATCCCACCACGGCAGTCAAAACTCGCTTTTAACCGAAGACGAATCCGACTCGGCTAAATCGGTAGTGACAACGCACAAAAATTATGTCAAAATATTTTAGTGTTACTGTTTTTAGTCTTCTAATGATAGAAACGAGGGAAAAAATTCGAGCAAAGGCGACAGCAACCAACATCACTCGACTAGCGTGAAAATGGTCTGAAATTATATAGAAAGCCGGTTTCTGAGCTAACTTTAAGATAAATTTTATAAATTAATGATAAAAGTTTCAAAATTAAGTAGCAGTTTTCTTTAAAGTTGGCAATGTCACCTCAAAAAATTATTGATCACTTTTCGTTACAACAATTTTATCTTTTTGTTTAAGACCCGAACCCAAGACGACATGCAAGGGAAGCTCGTCCTCATCTCAGAGATTGTGAAGAATCAGGAAAACTTCATCAAAAATGTGTTCAAATCAGTGGAAAGGCAACAAGAGGACATCCATAAAAATTTCTTGGAGAATATAGCTAAGATGGAAATATTTTTAGAAAGGAACGGAACGGGAAGTGACGCTTTCAAAAAACAGCTAGAGTCTTTTTTGTCGTAAGTGTCCACCACATTTCGATTTTTTGTTTCACAATCCTGTTGCTTCCAGCAATACGCAGCGGTCAGTCAAATTGGAAAATTTGCTAGAGGAGTATAAAGAAGTGCAAACAAGAGTGCGGCAAGCAGGTCCAGATATAAAGGAAGAGGACCTCAAGGCATTTATGGATGCAATCGAAAACACGCGAATCAAGCAAGAAGTGATCAACGGTGTATTTGATTACCAGAAATAAATGTCAAAATGGCTTAATTTAATTGTATTTAAAAAAAATTAACAACGTACTTAACGTGTAATAAATAGTGAAATGAGCAAATCGTTTTTTAAATACCTTTCCGAAAACGTCAATTTATGAACATAGGCAACACACTATTCACGCGCACACGGCTGATTGCATACTTAAAAGTAACAAAAAAAAAATTACTTTCCTCATAAAAAAACCTTTCTACTTTTTAGCGCTATCTTTGCAAATTATTACGATATTTATTTTAACAAACAGGAAATTATAATATTTGCACATTTTTCCGACGAACTTGACACTAGGCTGGTGGGAGCGGCCCGATTCTAAATTTAGCTTCACACGCAACCTTCGATCGACTTCGGACGAGTGACTACTCAGAAAACCCAGAACAAAAACGCTCCTAGTTTTTATTACACTATTCGTTAATTAACTAACAATCTTCCACGTACCACCAAGACCTTCCGCGCCTTCTAGTGCAACATTACGCAACCGTAAGTAATTTTTCTATTTGTTTTTATTCGTGTGGGTGGCAACTAGTCGGTGATGTCCCGAACTTCTCTTGCCAATCATCATTCGCGTTTTGTCGCAATCGTTATTTTTTCACTGTAATAACAGCCGCACTCCAAAATGTCTCCCGACTACGACGACCTCGAGGACCTCCCCAACACCATCAACGTCCTCCTCATGGGCGAAACCGGCGTCGGTAAATCCACCTTCATCAACTCCTTCGCCAACTACATCCGCTTCTCCACGTTCGCCGACGCCACAAAAACCAAACCCCTCATGCTCATCCCGACCCGCATCACCGTCTACGACGAGAACTCCATGGAGGACTGCAGCCTGACCATAGGTTCCGACAAGAACGAAAAGCAGGACGTGGGTTCGTCGGCGACGCAGGGTGTGAAGACCTACTTGTTCCCGGTGGAGGGCGACAATGTGGTCATCCGAGTCATAGATACTCCAGGGATCGGGGACACGGCGGGTCCGGACAAGGACGACCAAAACTGCGAGGGAATCCTGGCGTATTTGGCGCAGCTAAATAAAATCAACGCCATCTGCTTGCTGATGAAGCCGTCGAATGATCGCAATACGGTGCTCTTCAGCTACTGCGTCAGGAGGATTTTGTCGCAGTTGCACAAGAGTGCGTGCGATAATGTGGTTTTTCTGTTCACTAATACCAAAGGGAGCGACTACAGGCCTGGGGCGACGTTCGCGATTTTGAAGAAGTTGGCAGACGATGTGGCTGCGAAGCCGCCGCACGTGAGGATTCCCATCAAGAAAGAGAACGTTTTTTGCCTGGATAATGAGAGTTTCAAGCATTTGTTGGCGCTGGAGTACGGCGTGGAGTTGAATGAGAGGACGCTGGAGAGTTGTAAGATCAGCTGGAAGATTTCCTGTGAGGAAATAGTAAGGTACTAACCCACAGTGTTAGCTTATCATGACAATAAAATTCAAACTTTTTTCAGGTTTATCAAGTACATCCGAAAATTGGATCCCCACAACGTCAAGCAAACCGTCAGCGTGAACAAAACCAGAGACCTCATCCTACAACTATCTAAACCGCTGTCAGACATCTGTCAACTACTCCAAGAGAAGATCATCAACCTAAAAACCAAGGAAGAAGAATCGAGTAAAGCAAACCAGACGATCGAAGAACTCAAAAAGAGCCTGTACAAGCCAGGTCTAGACCTCGAAATTATCAAAATGGACCGCTCTGCTACAGTTTGCACAAACCTGAGCTGCATACAACCCGTCCAGGTAAAAATTTCTTCTTAGACACTACAATCCTTGTCGGGAAAAACCTTGACCCATTTCGTTTAAGGTCGGGAATACTACAAAGTTCATTTACAAAAAACGCTGTCACGACCCTTGTCTGCTCGGCTACCTTACGTACGAAAACATAGGCCACTGGAGTCTCGTGACTTGCAGCGAAATGACATTTGGTTTTTTCCCCGAATGTAAACATTGCAAGTGCTCTTATAAGAAACACATGACTATCTTCTACGATACTAAAGTCGTTGAAAAACAGATGGTGGACGAAGACGTCCTGTCGAACATTCAGAGTGAAGAGAAGCAGCGTGAGAGGATAGACGCTCTGATTGGAGAAATCAAGCAGGAGAAGAAGGAGCTCGAGAAGGAGCTGGAGTACGTGAGCGAGTGCGCCGCGAAGTTCGCCTACTTCCTTGAGAATAATGCGATAACGTCGTCGTACGACAACTTCAAGGAGTATATTTATTTGTCGCTTCAAAGGTAAGGAGTTGAGGAGTTTTGGTAGCAATTGAGTGGGTTTTTGTAGGCAGAAGAGTCTCGGGAATCAAGCCAACATGGACGTCGTCGTGAACTTGACAGAGCTTTTGCGCCGTCACGAAAATCTGATCAAAGCTATAAGTGAAAATCAGGCTCGTGTAAACGCGGAAAAAATTACCGAAGAGAGTATCTATCGGGATGCCGAAAGTCTGTTCAAGCTGAAGCATATGGGGCCGAAGATTAAGGAAATTTTTGAAGCGAGGGCTAGTTGTGCCAAAAAAGGGTTCAAAACTGGGCTGAAGTCGATATTTACCGAAAAGATACCAAACTGGTTTATGAATTAGATTTTGCAATTTTACTTTTTATACACCGCCTTGAAATATTCGCAAAACCACTTTAAAAAACTAAAATTAATAAATATTTCAGGGTGGCA